AGCTCCCGATGACACCCGGACCGGTTCTGACCCGTCTCTCCTCCATCGTCAATGAAAACTAAGAGTTGGCTTTAGTTACACAATTTACATTTTGAAGTTCAGCCCGTCCCCGGTGTGTTCGTCCTCGAAGTCGTGTAGCCGCCGCGTTGGATGATTTTTGTCCGAGTGGAGCGGCCACTTTTTGCTCCGCCCACTTCCTGAACTCTAAAATTTCCATCGTGGCCCCCCAATCTCCGGGATGTTTGTTTACTTTTCTGGTCTGTTTCCTTTCCCATTGTTCTGCCGCCATCTGCACATGACAGCGACCTTCCGCCCCCCCCTCCCCCCCCCTCCGTGTTATATGTGAGCTCCGCAGATGGATGAGCGTGACACGTTGTTGCAGCGAGCCCGCCATTGACATTCGCTTCTTTCACGTATACGTGTGACTCGTAATAATAATATTCTGAGTGAAAAAAGTGCCCGAGAATAGGAACGCACTCTGATCATGTGATCTTTGCCTTGGCTTTCGGTGATCTCTGGGTACCACGAGCTTGGTGGAGGTTTCACACCATCAAACACTGCATAATGTATGTTGTAGCTTCAGGGACAGCTCACACTTAAGCGCACCATTGCGGCACATTGATGACCATCATGGCATGTATTAACGTGTTGCTTTATGGGATACATTGCCATGCGCATTGCGTTGTGGCACTGTTCATTGAGTGGCACCCCAACGTGCCACAAGGCATATACGTGCGTTGTGGTGCACTACTTTGTTTTTAAAAAAGGGGGTAGTTTACATTTTGTCATCAGTTGGCACAACGCGCATTAATCCATGCTATAATGACCGCGCGTGCAATAATGCAAAGAAGCGCCTAAGTGTATTAAGTGACGGACTCCATGCCGCTGTGCGTTGCACTCTACTGTACAGTACATCGGGGTGTCATTACAGGCCAGAGCGTGCTGACACACTCCACATAGGTGTGTTGGCATGTTATGGGAAAGTGCAATAACGCATGAGTTTTACCGCGCGTTGGCGTAACTCACAAGTGTGGATGGGCCCTCGGGGTGGATGGGCCCTTATCTGAAAGGTAGCTTTGAGAATCTTAAGACGCAATGCGTTTATTGATATTTTATCTTCCGGTGATCGGGAGTACTATGTACGCCCGGATGATGGGACTGCACACCATCAGGGGGGCCGGCCTGGATCGGTCACGTGCCCGGGCGGTCCAATAACGCCTTTGTGATCGCCCACGCTTGTATGCCCACGGCAAGTTTTCATTATAAGGCTGGGTTTCACACCTAGGCGTATCGAATATGCGCGCTTGTTCGTGGTAAAAAAAAACCGCACGACAAATGCGCGTTTCCGAGGGCTGCTTGACTGTATCCCAATGGAAATGCGCCACAAAAACTCCCCAAAGAGGCTCCTGTACTTCTTTGGGCGTAGGGCGTTTTGTAGCGCGTTCTTACGGCCCGTAATACGCCCAGGTGTGAACCGTACCCATAGGAAATAATGGGATTTCGGTGTTTGAGCGTTTTGCAGAGCGTAGGAACGCGCCACAAAACGCCCAGGTGTGAACCGGGCCTAAAGGGTTTCTGGAGCGCATTCAGCTATCAGTAGTTGTTTGTACGCGCGGCGTGCATGCTACTCACGTACACAAAGCCGCACTGTGCCAGCCAAAAGGGCCGTGGGTGATGCGTTTACACAAGGATGGGGATTGGTGTTGCTCGCTGGTCACAGAATGCTCCTTGTCGGCTAATCCGGCGCCTTTGCCCCGCGCCACGTGACCCTATCGGGTTCCACAACAAATCTCGGGCTCATTCCGGAGGCGGGAGGGCCGCGCCATCTGTCCTGGGGGATCCCATAGACGGTCTGTCACTGCTGAATTCTCTTTATGGCAGAATTTATAAATGCAAATTTGGCGAAAGGTTTCCACTGGCCGGGGTACGGCATCGGTCGGTGATATCGGCGGTGCGGCTTTATAATGTGGAAAGGTCGGCGGAGCGGAATTTACTTAAAACAGAAAGCAAATTGCCTTCCCTAGTGCCCCCCTCGTGTCCCCCGTGCCCCCAAATCTACATGCTAATGACCTTTTTTTTTTAAAACTAAAATCTTAAAAAAACAACAAATACTTCTTTTTTTTTAAGACCCTGTGACGCCATTACTGGGTCTCTGTGCTTCTCTATGCCATGCGGGCTTGGCTGCACCCTCCTGTCAGTCTTGCACAGTTGTAGCGGCTAGTCTCCTCTCACTGCACACTGGGAGCTCCTCACAATGTGCATTAGAAGCTGCAGCAAGTCAGATAGAGCTCCGCCTCATTTCCTGGCTGGAGGATGTCCATCATCATCTAACCCTTTCCTGCCCAACCTGACTGTCCCTGACGCAGCAAAAGAGCAGAAGACTGATGCATCCATCTCTCCTCACTCCGCTCTCTACTCCTGTCTGCATGTTTGAATGCAACAAAGCCCTGATTGGCTCAAAAAAAACTGGTCATGTGCTGCCTTGCTGCAACGCACCTTAACTTGCTCCAACGCAACGACCAGCAGCACTGTGTGTGGCCACTCCTTGTCATGTGATGGCAGAGCTGGTCTGGACCCGGGAGGACGGCGGCTTTATTTCCCATGATGCACCGGGAGCCTTCCCTGTTCTGTCTCTGCTGTACTGTGCATGTTGCATCAGTAGAGAGCGCACACACTTGGTCTGTGAGGGTGTCCAGTTCTGTATTTTATTCTTTTTACTGCTCTGCCGTTGCAAGGAAAGACAGAAATCTACATTTTTGTGATTTATTATTTCCAGTTAATTGCCGTAACGTAAAATGTTTACCATGACTTTTACATTGTTGTACACTGGTGTGTGTCTGCGGCTGAGGACTCTGCATGTCTGCGGCTGAGGACTCTGCATGTCTGCGGTCAGGTGTGTGTCTGCGGCTGAGGACTCTGCATGTCTGCGGTCAGGTGTGTGTCTGTGGCTGAGGTCTCTGCGTGTCTGCGGTCAGGTGTGTGTCTGTGGCTGAGGACTCTGCGTGTCTGTGGTCAGCTGTGTGTCTGTGGCTGAGGACTCTGCATGTCTGCGGTCAGGTGTGTCTGCGTCTGAGGTCTCTGCATGTCTGCGGTCAGGTGTGTGTCAGCGGCTGAGGACTCTGCATGTCTGCGGCTGAGGACTCTGCATGTCTGCGGCTGAGGACTCTGCATGTCTGCGGCTGAGGACTCTGCATGTCTGCGGCTGAGGACTCTGCATGTCTGCGGCTGAGGACTCTGCATGTCTGCGGCTGAGGACTCTGCATGTCTGCGGCTGAGGACTCTGCATGTCTGCGGCTGAGGACTCTGCATGTCTGCGGCTGAGGACTCTGCATGTCTGCGGCTGAGGACTCTGCATGTCTGCGGCTGAGGACTCTGCATGTCTGCGGCTGAGGACTCTGCATGTCTGCGGCTGAGGACTCTGCATGTCTGCGGCTGAGGACTCTGCATGTCTGCGGCTGAGGACTCTGCATGTCTGCGGCTGAGGACTCTGCATGTCTGCGGCTGAGGACTCTGCATGTCTGCGGCTGAGGACTCTGCATGTCTGCGGCTGAGGACTCTGCATGTCTGCGGCTGAGGACTCTGCATGTCTGCGGCTGAGGACTCTGCATGTCTGCGGCTGAGGACTCTGCATGTCTGCGGCTGAGGACTCTGCATGTCTGCGGCTGAGGACTCTGCATGTCTGCGGCTGAGGACTCTGCATGTCTGCGGCTGAGGACTCTGCATGTCTGCGGCTGAGGACTCTGCATGTCTGCGGCTGAGGACTCTGCATGTCTGCGGCTGAGGACTCTGCATGTCTGCGGCTGAGGACTCTGCATGTCTGCGGCTGAGGACTCTGCATGTCTGCGGCTGAGGACTCTGCATGTCTGCGGCTGAGGACTCTGCATGTCTGCGGCTGAGGACTCTGCATGTCTGCGGCTGAGGACTCTGCATGTCTGCGGCTGAGGACTCTGCATGTCTGCGGCTGAGGACTCTGCATGTCTGCGGCTGAGGACTCTGCATGTCTGCGGCTGAGGACTCTGCATGTCTGCGGCTGAGGACTCTGCATGTCTGCGGCTGAGGACTCTGCATGTCTGCGGCTGAGGACTCTGCATGTCTGCGGCTGAGGACTCTGCATGTCTGCGGCTGAGGACTCTGCATGTCTGCGGCTGAGGACTCTGCATGTCTGCGGCTGAGGACTCTGCATGTCTGCGGCTGAGGACTCTGCATGTCTGCGGCTGAGGACTCTGCATGTCTGCGGCTGAGGACTCTGCATGTCTGCGGCTGAGGACTCTGCATGTCTGCGGCTGAGGACTCTGCATGTCTGCGGCTGAGGACTCTGCATGTCTGCGGCTGAGGACTCTGCATGTCTGCGGCTGAGGACTCTGCATGTCTGCGGCTGAGGACTCTGCATGTCTGCGGCTGAGGACTCTGCATGTCTGCGGCTGAGGACTCTGCATGTCTGCGGCTGAGGACTCTGCATGTCTGCGGCTGAGGACTCTGCATGTCTGCGGCTGAGGACTCTGCATGTCTGCGGCTGAGGACTCTGCATGTCTGCGGCTGAGGACTCTGCATGTCTGCGGCTGAGGACTCTGCATGTCTGCGGCTGAGGACTCTGCATGTCTGCGGCTGAGGACTCTGCATGTCTGCGGCTGAGGACTCTGCATGTCTGCGGCTGAGGACTCTGCATGTCTGCGGCTGAGGACTCTGCATGTCTGCGGCTGAGGACTCTGCATGTCTGCGGCTGAGGACTCTGCATGTCTGCGGCTGAGGACTCTGCATGTCTGCGGCTGAGGACTCTGCATGTCTGCGGCTGAGGACTCTGCATGTCTGCGGCTGAGGACTCTGCATGTCTGCGGCTGAGGACTCTGCATGTCTGCGGCTGAGGACTCTGCATGTCTGCGGTCAGGTGTGTGTCTGCGGCTGAGGTGTCTGCGGCTGAGGTGTCTGCGGCTGAGGTCTCTGCATGCTCCCGGTCATTTATGTATCTGCATATGATGCCTCTGCAGCCTCGCTGACCTGCCTCCTCTCTCTTCTCTTCAAGGTGAGACCCAGCTCCGCTGCAGCTGAACCATGAGTGCCGGATCCAGCCCGGGGGTGATCACAGCCCCTCCTCTTCCCAGCATGCCTCACAAAGAGAGGTACTTCGATCGCATCGACGAGAACGACCCCAACTACCTGCGGGAGAGGAACATGTCTCCAGACCTCCGGCAGGACTTCAACATGATGGAGCAGAAGAAGCGCGTGACGCAGATACTTAAGAGCCCGGTAAGTAGCCGGCTTGCCGCGCCGGATTATTTCACATGACCCCGGGGTCGCACGGCGAGGAAACATTGTTTTCATTTCGGAAAGGTCTGCGGACAAAGCGCTTCCGATATTTCGTCTCCATGCGCCGCTTCTTTTCTGGTCCTGTTATCAAGTGGTTGGGATGGATGAAGGAAGGGGGGGAGGGGGGGGACAAGCCTCTCATCCAGAGGAACAATTCCCGGCTCTCCGGCCCGACCGCCAACACTTCTCCTTCCCGAAACATCTAATCCCTCTTCAGAAGTATAATACGCGGACGCCACGCCTGGCCGCCCCTCCGCCGCAGACCCTCGGACAGCCAGCCGTTGGCTCGGGAGGACTTGCAAGGCTTTCAAATTCTTTCTTTTGAGCGACCGCTCAGAGCCGTGCGCTTCATTACACAATCACAAGAGTGCCCAGGATCGGGGGAGGAGGGGGGGGCAATGGGGGGATATTCGGAACATTAACCCTTCCCGGCCTGGTCCTCACATGGTGCCTCGGGCCCTCCCACATTGGTACTGGTGAATCTTTAGTGTGTAACTTTGTTTACATCGGCGCTGCCAAGATTCACCCAATCGCAAGGGGCGGAGCTTTTTTTAATTTTATTATTTAAGGTCTCGTTCACACACAACGCGAAAGCAAACTTGTAAATGCGTTCGTGCGTGAACTGTATGCAACCCCAGAATGCATCATAGAAACTCGAATGTACTGCAGGCGCGTATATGATCGCGCGTGCGTAAAATGCGCAGGGATTCCGAGCCCAGACGCATCTCGGACTGGCGTCAGTCACACTGCCGTATAATACGCCGCGCGTAGATGTGCTCAGCGTCTTTTCCCCATATGCAAATAAAATGGCTCCGTATACATAGCTGCGCATGGAGCCGTATTTTTGCGCTGCGTAAAGATGCGCAAAAAAAGAAATGGGACCCGAGATGCGCTTGGGCTCGGAATTTCTGTGTATTTTGCGCACGCGTATAGTACATTGTTATTATTCAGGATTTATAGAGCGCCAACAGTTTGCACAGCGCTTTACAATATAAGGAAGACATTACAATCACAATACAATTCTAGACAAGATGGTAAGGGGGGCCCTGCCCCCTGAGGGCTTACAATCTAAAAGGGGAGGGGCCAGTGATACATGAGGAGGGAGCTGTGTGGGGATGAATGGTTGAGTGGTTAGGTTGAGGTGGGATCGGCTTCCCTGAAGAGATGAGTCTTAAGGGATCGCCTAAAGGTAGTCAGGGTGGGAGATAGACGGACAGGTTGGGGTAAAGAGTTCCAGAGGATGGGAGAGGCTCTGGAGAAGTCCTGAAGGCGAGCATGGGAGGAGTTGACGAGGGAGCTGGAAAGCAGGAGGTCTAGGAAAGAGCGGAGGGGGTGGTTAGGGTGATACTTAGAGACAAGGTCTGAGATATATCCGGGGGCGGAGTTGAGGATGGCTTTAAGTTGTTAATATTTTTGAATTTTATCCTTTGGGTGATTGGAAGCCAGTGCAGGGCGAACCTCGGCACTCCAGCTGCCAAAACTACAAATCCCAACATGCATCTGCCTCTGGGAGTTATGTCTGTGGCTGTCAGAGCCTTGCAATGCCTCATGGGACTTGTAGTTCCAAAACAGCCGGAGTGCCGAGGTCCGCCACCACTGATCTAGGGAGTGACGTCACTATTCGTGACAAGACGGAGCGGTGAGGGAGTGCAGGCAAGGTGTGTATGAAGGGGTCAGCTGGGTGGGGAGCTCTGTGCAGTGACTCTGATTACTTTGACCTCCATGTGGCGAGGTGACAGGGTCTCTTTAATGCATAAAAAAGCAGACACGGTCCTATCTTTCATCGCAGCAATGCCGGTATGTTGCCCGCTTCTGTATTTGTGTGTTCAGGTGTTCTAAATAAATCGCAACGCTGGTTGTGCATCCTTAAGAGAACCTGTCCTGAGAGCAATATGATGGCTGCCAATGCTACTCTTCTCCTGAAAATGCCAGTTGCCTGGCTGTCTGTCGCTGCCATTGCTTGAGTTGCTAACCCGGCACAAGCATGAGGTCAGAGGGACTCGGAAAGTGCGGAACCTTTTAGGTCAGGGGCGGGGCAAACCAGCTGTTGTGGAACTACAAATCTCAGGAGGCATTGCAAGATCCTCGCAGCCACAGGCATGACTCCTAGAGACAGATGCATCATGGGATTTGTTGTGTCACGGAAGCTAGAGGGCCGGAGTTTGCCCACCGCTGCTCTAGATTCATATGACTGTCGGGATCTTTGTATCCTCGGATCTGCATGACAATCGGGCTTTTCGTTTATTCAGCCTTTCCCTTTTTACTGCAGTCATGCTGCGCTGCATTCCCTGCGGTGCTGCACTGTACATGGAGAATCTATTGTAGGAGCGCCCTCTGCTGGTCACTCCTCAGTAATACAGGCGGCCAAGTTCTCAACTTCAAATAACTACTGAGACAGTTTTATTTCATGTGGATCTGAAGAGTCAGAAGAGGGTTTGCCAGTGTTAGGACAGAACTCCAGGCAAAGCCACTAAACACCGGGATGGGCTGGCTCATCCACTGCAGGATTTGTGATTCTGTTCAGGCAGTCTTGTGATTTATACCTTTGCCACACTTGGAGCTATTAAAGCAACGCTTTTATTTCCTGTTCCAGATTCTCGGCTTCCTGTGTCACCTGCCCGTCCTTCACTGTGTGGGGGAATGTTATCTGACGGCTTGCTAGTTGGCTGTTCACTGGCAAGCAGGGGACACCGGAAGCCACAAAGCTGAAACAGGAAGTAGTGTCACCTGCCTGGCAGTGTTTGATTGAGTTCCTGGGTCTGTACACCTTCTGTGCCCATTATGAGGAGCTCTCACCATCCCTGTGCTGAGTTCCCGGGTCTGTACCCCTTCTGTGCCCATTATGAGGAGCTCTCACCATCCCTGTGCTGAGTTCCCGGGTCTGTACCCCTTCTGTGCCCATTATGAGGAGCTCTCACCATCCCTGTGCTGAGTTCCCGGGTCTGTACCCCTTCTGTGCCCATTATGAGGAGCTCTCACCATCCCTGTGCTGAGTTCCCGGGTCTGTACCCCTTCTGTGCCCATTATGAGGAGCTCTCACCATCCCTGTGCTGAGTTCCCGGGTCTGTACCCCTTCTGTGCCCATTATGAGGAGCTCTCACCATCCCTGTGCTGAGTTCCCGGGTCTGTACCCCTTCTGTGCCCATTATGAGGAGCTCTCACCATCCCTGTGCTGAGTTCCCGGGTCTGTACCCCTTCTGTGCCCATTATGAGGAGCTCTCACCATCCCTGTGCTGAGTTCCCGGGTCTGTACCCCTTCTGTGCCCATTATGAGGAGCTCTCACCATCCCTGTGCTGAGTTCCCGGGTCTGTACCCCTTCTGTGCCCATTATGAGGAGCTCTCACCATCCCTGTGCTGAGTTCCCGGGTCTGTACCCCTTCTGTGCCCATTATGAGGAGCTCTCACCATCCCTGTGCTGAGTTCCCGGGTCTGTACCCCTTCTGTGCCCATTATGAGGAGCTCTCACCATCCCTGTGCTGAGTTCCCGGGTCTGTACCCCTTCTGTGCCCATTATGAGGAGCTCTCACCATCCCTGTGCTGAGTTCCCGGGTCTGTACCCCTTCTGTGCCCATTATGAGGAGCTCTCACCATCCCTGTGCTGAGTTCCCGGGTCTGTACCCCTTCTGTGCCCATTATGAGGAGCTCTCACCATCCCTGTGCTGAGTTCCCGGGTCTGTACCCCTTCTGTGCCCATTATGAGGAGCTCTCACCATCCCTGTGCTGAGTTCCCGGGTCTGTGCCCATTATGAGGGGCTGTGGATTATGGAGCCCCTCTGTCATTATTGGTGACGTGTCATGTTGGTCCTGTGGCTTCCTTCATGTCGGGTTGCAGATTTGTGTCGGGTTATTGCTCATATTTCCTCCTGATCCGGGGGTGTGGGGGAGGGGAGTGTACAGGGGATGAGTTCGCAGCAGGCGATGTTCCAGGTTCGGAGTTCTTCCCACACTGACCCGCGCTGATAATTAGCTGGTCCTGTGCCAGAGGCCATTAATTAAAGGGCCGGCGCTCCCACAGCCTCATATTTCCTCTGTTGATTGCAGACAGCTCACTCCCCCGCAATGATTAGCCAACTGCAGAGCCGCTGATAACTAATAAAGCTGAAGTGTAATCTGCTTATATCCCCCTCTCCGGGCCCTCCTCCCCATCCCCCCCCGTTACCACGCTGATCGTTCAGTTTTCCTTACATACCTAGTTTTAGTTCTGGTGATGTCATCGCATATGCTTCTCTATGCAATGCAGGCAGATCACGGCTGGTGGGAGGAGCCGGCGGGGTGCTGTACATTGCTTCCTGAAAATATCACTGCACGCTGCCTCAGTACTCATCTTATGAGCCCTCAGCTCTGATGCACGCAGTGGGAGGAGTTATGCAAATATCAAAATGCTCTGATGGGTGGTTGGCATGGGATGGGCATTCCTCGGCAGGCTGCATTTGCATCCAGACTGTTCTTCCTACATGTCAGTGGGCAGGCAGCCAGAGCTAGTCTGTCTCCCAGTCTTGAGTGCTCAGCAGCTGAAATAAATGCAGTAGGGGGTGAAACATGTCAGAAAGGCGCTGAGCAACTTTTTATATCATTAGCACAGGACTGGCCTGGTGGGTCCCGGGCTCCTGATAACATTACAGACGGGTCCATGGTGTCCAATGGAAAGATTTTGCTGGGTGATCTGATGCGGGGGGGGGACATCTGTGATGGTTTCTAATGGATCCCTTGTGTCCCCGCAGGCCTTCCGGGAGGATCTGGAGACCCTCATCCAGGATCAGATGAAGAAGGGCAACAACCCCACCGGACTCCTGGCCCTGCAGCAGATCGCCGATTACATCATGGCCAGCTCCTTTGCTGGATTCTCCTCGTCTCCTCTCAGTAAGTTCCAGAAGACCAAAAATGTGGTGGGTGGCCCTTTAAATCTGCAGGGGGGATTTCGAGGG